GGAGTGGTGAGTGGTAATACACTGGTATAGAGCTGGCCGAATATGATCTTTTAGCAGCTGGAGAACCAGCTGGACTGGCCACCATACTCCCTCTCATTTTCTTTTGCTGTTTGATGGCCTCCAGCTGCTTGCTTTTGCTCTTTGAGTAGCCAATGAGATTAGCTAATCCAAGAAGAGACGATCGTAGGCAAGAGAATATCAAATTAGTGATGTAATTCCGCTGTATTTTACTGATATCTAGCGACTGTACAGCTAGCTTTGAGCTCAAGACTGCTCTCCATATGACTCCCAGACAGCCTGAGAGAGGAGAGAGTCTCACGTTCCTCCAAACTAAAGCCAAACATTGAGCAGCTGGAGCTAAGCAGCGAGAGAGAGGGGACAAGAGGAGGAGGAGACTGCTCTTTAATTGTAGAATGGTGTTCCAGAAAGGAAGTGCCAATAAACTGCTAAAGACAGTCAGTGGTGACAGGAGTGCAGTCCAATAATGAGTCAAACGGGACAATAGTCTATCCATATGCTCCATCACTTCTTTGATGTGTTCTCTCAGTAGCTCAACTATTGGTTCAAGAGCAATGTGTATGAACTGAACATGTCTGTAGAGCTGCCATGAGGCCCAGACTACACTGAACAAAGAGTAACAGAGGATCAATATTTGAAGTATCTTCCTGAATCTTTTTGAGTATATCCACCAGGGGACATAGAGTGACCACCATGGCAACGTGTCAAGGAATGTCAATGGAGGACTCTCACCTCCTCCAGCTGCTGAGGTGTCACTCTTACCGCCAATAGAGGAGGAGAGAGAGGGAGACCGTTGAAGATAATAATAAGGATTATTATTCTTATCACTAGAGTTTTCTCCTTTACCATCCAAAAATGAAAAGGATTTATCGGATTTTAAAAACAACAGTATGTCCCTTAAATGTCCTGTCTCATGCACAGAAGCTATAACGATCGCTTTACGACATTTAATGATGGACGATTCCATTGAGTAAGTGTCTTCATTATCACTTCTGGTCAGGAGATTAGGCTCAAATATGGCGTCTGTGTCTAATTCAAGTTGTAGACGTGTCATCATACCCTCTAGTGATCCAGGTATCTCATTAATCAGTTCCAGTCTTGCTGCAGTGACTCCTTTTACTCTAACGCTTCCTGGTACAGCACCAGGTGATCTTTTCCCGCCCCCTATCCCTGGTATATCACTCCTTATCACCAGATCTGAGGTGTTCATTTCATAGAGCAGCTCTAAATCAGAGAGACTCCCGTCAGGTACTGCCTGGTACCTGATACGACCCATCTCCACCCTCTCCAGTGGTACACGGAGTGGTATTACCTGTCCTGCTGTTAGGAACTCGTCAGGTACTGAATAATCACCTTCATCTTCTTGGCCTCCATACATTGTTGATTTTTTACCCTGCCCACTTCTTGTTTGAGCCACACCCAAAACCATGCTGTTTGCTGTGCTTGCAAATGAAAAAGAGAATGCTACCATTGCTAGCTCTATCATTGCCTCTCCTCCTCCTCCTCCAGCCATCAGAGGCTGCAGTAACTGGTGAATGCAACTCTTATGAGAGAGAGAAGGTCAATGAAGGATACTACGAGTGCCTCCACACTGATCCCAGGACAGGACTCTCCTACCTTGGTGTGGGGTTCAACCTCTACGGGTATGAGGCTGATACACAACTCGGTAAAGTTGGTGCTAATTATATTAATATAATGAATGGAACAGAGTGTTTGAATGATACACAAATCAAGGAACTATTCAAACTATCAATGGCTGACGCTTTAGAATGTGCTTCAAACTTTCTCTACAAAAGCTGGTCCCCACTCACCCTCAATGCCAAGTCTGCTATTATAGACATGGCATTTGACTACCATTACATTGGCTGCTATCCTGTTTTTCCAAGCAGAGGGTTACAGGACTTTGTTAATTTGAGGTCAGCATTGTCCGAGAAGCCTCCTAATTACGATAAAGCTGGTTCTATACTGAAGGACTCAACTTGGTGTGGTCAAGAACCAAAGAGATGCCAAGAAGCTATTGACTGTATACAATCAAAGAACAAACAATGATTAATTAATTAATGCTGAATAATGTGGCTGATATTACCTATCCTTTCAAACAATTAGTAATATTCTGAGCTATGTTATAGCCAGTTTATTTTATTTTTAATGAGTGGGAGGATTCATTGCCAGTATAGTAGGATAGAGTAAGATAACTTCTTGTTTGAGCCACGCCCAAATCCATGCTGTTTGCTGTGCTTGCAAATAACAAGAGAAATGCTACCATTGCTAACTTTATCATTGTATCTATTCCTCCTCCTCCAGCCATCAGAGGCTGCAGTAACTGGTGAATGCAACTCTTATGAGAGAGAGAAGGTCAATGAAGGATACTACGAGTGCCTCCATGCTGACCCCAGGACAGGACTCTTCTACCTTGGAGTGGGGTTCAACCTCTACGGGTATGAGGCTTATACACAACTCGGTAAAGTTGGTGCAAATTATACGAAAGTAATTAATGGAACAGAGTGTTTGAATGATACACAAATCAAGGAACTATTCAAACTATCGATGGCTGACGCTTTAGAATGTGCTTCAGGCTTTCTCTACAAAAGCTGGTCCCCACTCACCCTCAATGCCAAGTCTGCTATTATAGACATGGCTTTCGACTACCATTACATTGGCTGTACTAATTTTCCAAGCAGAGGGTTGCAGGACTTTGTTAATTTGAGGTCAGCATTGTCTGAGAAGCCTCCTAATTACGATAAAGCTGGTTCTATACTGAAGGACTCAACTTGGTGTGGTCAGGAACCAAAGAGATGCCAAGAAGCTATTGACTGTATTACAATCAAAGAACAAACAATAACTAATTAATTAATGCTGAATATTGTGGCTGATATTATGTAGACCCATCTTTTCATAATTATAATTAATAATATTCTGAACTAATGTTATAGCCAGTTGATTTTATTTTTAATGAGTGGGAGATAGAAACAGCAAGTGGGTTCATTGCCAGTAGGAGTAATTTTGTTATTAGATAACAAGCTTTAGTATATAATGTAACTTAACAGAAAGTTGATTCACAGTCATCAGATTGCATGACCTTACAACATACATTAGCTAATCTCTATCACCACTAGAGCCCTCCATTGCTGCTGCTGCTCTTAATGATGAAGGAACTTCTTGTCCTTTTTGCTATATTTGCTGTATCTTTTGCTGGTGAATGCAACTCT